AGGAAACCATGTTATTTGGAAACAGCAAGGTAGACTCAGAAGGAATTTATCCAAGAAATTAGGAGGGTTGGTTTGGGGGTAAGAGACAGAAAAATTTCAGGGTAATGAGAATGGGGTCAAACAAGATTGCTATACCTGGAAATCTGCTTGCGAAATCCAGAGTTAGGAACACTGGGTCTATATGCATCAGTGAGTCTTTAAAATGTGGGAGATTGAGGATGGAGACAATCACAACAAATCCATGTCTAACCAGACATCAACCCACCTGTGACAACAATTAATGCTTCCAGTTAATATCTCATGCATATATTGCTCCCCAGAATGAGCTTGATATCTCATCTTTATGAGAAGCACACAGCTTGGCTAGAAAAAAATCAAGTCTAGCTCTCTCATATTGCACTTGCATATCAGGAAAAGCAAAATGAGAAAAAAAGGCACTCAACCCTTCCAGTAGGTTACCCTGAAGTATCAGCGCCACTGTGAAAGCTGAAGTCAAACACAAAGTTTGGGGTTTATGCCTGTATCTTAAATTCCTGGCTACTATTGGATTCATTGCTCAACCAGAAAACTGCTTTTTCCAACTGATAGCCTTGTAAAATCGTAGTGGAAACAGAAAATAATGTGTACTTTGGCTGAGGCATTACCAACCATAAAGATCTGGCAACTGCACCTTGCGAAACAATTTTGCTAATTATATTTAAATTGGAGTGAATCAACCCTTCCAACTCTGAATAAAGAGCAACTTTATTTTTCCCAAGGAGAAAAGCAGATGGGAGACGGGATGCATTCAGGTGAGCAGGTTTTTAACAGGTGCTCCCGCACTGAGATATAACACCACTTTAACAATACCCATTCACTGGGCTGGTGCAAGTTATTACACTGTGTAAAGTAAAAGAAGATCTAAAGTTAAAGCTCTGTAGTTACTCCACAACAGCTCATGTGTGAACAGAAGGTAAAACTTCGTAATTACTCCACAACAGTTCCTATGTGAACAGTCTGATATCAGAGTATTATTTTCTTCTTGGTTACTTTTTCTGCATGTCCATGATATATTAAGCTTGTTCATGAAAAAAAAAAAATATCCCTCTTCTATATGTGAATATACATCAGTTTTTGTAAGAAAGGGCTGGTAGTCCTTTAGCTTCTGCTTTTCTACTGACTGGTGGCAGTACATCACGTATCCTGCAGAAGTACAATTAGCAAAATGCCTTAAGATCAAAGGAACTACAGCATTTTAGAGTCTGGCAACAGAGTGGGTCACAAAAGGTCAGAAAGCATTCTTTCTGTAAAAATAAGTGTCCCGAGTTATTTTTAAGATCACCCATTTATGTTAGAAGCAACTTTCTCAGCAAGTATAGTAGGCATGTTTGGATGGTGATACAGAAATCTGAGATGACTAAATGATTGATAATGTCGTTCTCCATAGTAAATTTACCTCAATGAAAAGAATTGTACAACATATTGTACACATTTTTCATGCCCAATAAGTAGCATTATAGGTTTTATTAATTGTAAAATCCTGTCAGTACCCTGTAGTATACTGCTGTAAATTCCAGCAAAGTGAATTTTGGAACTCTGATACTGCTGCTTATATGGTTCTAAATCAGATTCCTACATGTTTAGGAATCATTCATGTGGTTTAAGTGGTTTGGGTTTACATCGTCTTATTGCTTATTTGGCCCAATTTGAGCACATGATCTTTCCCTTAAAGGGTGGTACTCTGTGTACTATGTTACTCAAACAGTTGGCAACTTCTTAAAGATTTAAAAGATGCTACTTGTAGGGCTTGGAGGAGTTGAAGGCTTTTAGCAAAATAATTTAGGTGGAGTGTTGTTTAATTAATATTACTATCTCAGGGAGAATTTACACTTATAGAAGATGACCTTGATTTCACCCTTGTGAGAGAAGGAGGGAAGACTCACCTTTCTCATAAAGGTGTTTGTAACTACAATATAAGACCCAGCCAGCCACCTAAACAGTTAGACATTCCACACACTGAATAATTCTGCCTGAAAACTGGTGCTGCACCTGTTGTGTCACAGCTCTATGATCACATGGTACTGTAATGCATAATCTTTCCATAATCTTTCTTTTACATAATTGGGATCATTATGGTGATAAAGCAAATTAATTATTAATTTTATCCATTTTAGGGAATGCAATCTAGGTTTCCCAGACAGGAATTTTAGTCTATTTGCACCCCTTGAGTTACCAAAAATGCTATTTCAGAGGGAGTGCAAATAGGACTTAGGAGCTACTGCATTTGGACAATATACATCTTCCTTTCAGGTAAATGCTGCACGATGAATGACCAATTATTTGGTAACCTGGCAGTCCTTGTGCATGAGGCTGGCCAGGGGAGTGCACTGTCTTTCTCAACCTAAGCAATATGGGAGGCATCAACAGTTAAATTTAGAATTCCTTTATGAAATTGGCTTGTGTGAACAACATAGATCCTTTTTTTCTGTATCCATTTATGTTATTTCTATATCTAAAGTAAGGGTTATCTCATTACTCTGGATGGATTTCTATCACAGCATAAATAGAAAACGCAAGGCCTATGTGTATGCTTACTTTTGAACAAGTGGCGTATTTTTACTTAGCCACCAAGTAAATATATATTTAGAGGAATGGCATTGATATGAGACTTATTTAACTTTAAAAAAAAAATAAATCCCTGTTAATTCAAGGATTAACATAGTTCTGCTTTTGAAGGAGAGGAGATATGTGATGGTACCAACAAGATTCGTTATGTTTAATTCACAAAATACAGTTATTGCAGACTGAATGAGGAACTTCCATATGCCTTTTTTTTAAATCCATTTTAGCCATATTATCAGATATGGGATGAATTGTGAGGTAAATAATCCATCAACTGCAGATAACTGAACCAGAAATAGTATGTAAATTCTGTTCCAAACTCACCTGCAACAGACTGAATCTTTTGCTGTGGGATACTCAACTTCCCAACTTTAAATTCAGGATTTCAGATAGATAACAGTTAAGAAATAGATGTAGACCTAGCACAATAATTAAAAAGAGAGGAAAAAAAAAGAAGATTGCCTCTCTGTCAGGCTTTCATATATTAAAGCAACTCTTTGTGAGTAGAAAAGTAGAATGAAATGAAGCTCTTCTGTGCCAGCTGCAGGGAAATTTATCATGTATTTAACATGTCCTAAATATTTTAAGTATTTCAGGATAAATTTGTACAACCTGAAAATATTTCTTCATATATTTAATATCCTCATACTACTCTTAAAATGTTAGATTTTTAAAATTCTGTATTTTTCAACACAAATATGTTCAATTTGCAAAGGCAAGTAGACTTTCTACATGGAAGACTTTCTTAACAGTTTTCATATGCCTTAATATTTGAATTGAGTCACTTAGATAAACAGTTTTGTTTATCTAGTAAGTAAAATGCTGATTGTGTTGTAAATCATATCTTGAAATGGGGCCACTAACACCTGCTATCCCTTGTTATAGCCTTTAACACTAAAGCACTTTGAAACTGACAAAAAAGAAAATGGTGGTAAACAACATTCATTTAACTTGAATAGAAATCAAAATTCTTTAAAAAGCAAGAAAGCAAGATTAGTGTCATCTATTCCTGGTGGTTTGTTGCTTAGGTAGGACTGTTGGAGGTAGTAGCTCTTTGCTTTTTTGACATTTTGCAATCTGACAAGTTAGTTGAGTAAGTTGAGTAGCAAATGAGTAGACAACCAAAATCTGCTTATAGACAACAATCAGATTGAGTTTATTTGATAAAACATTTGCTTCTCTGATGCTCCAAACTTTTGTTGAAAACAAAATTGAATTCTTGAGATCGCAAAGGTGGTCTGGAAAATATTAAATCTATATAAACAAAGGAAGGAACTTTGAGGTGCTTAGATCCTATGCTAATAGATGCAACATGAAATACTTGACCTGGATAGTGATATCAAACCAAGCCTGAAGCCAGCCTAAAACGATGGCTTGAAGCAATTCCTGCACATTTGAAAGAGAATGTTAACTTTGAAGCTGCATGAGAATGTTGCCAACAGTGTTAGTTTTTTCGCTGCCAAGAATGATCATGCTAGGACAATGTAATCTTCACACATACTCATTAAGCAATAGGATCAAATCAAACATCATGTTTGGGGTCTAAATAAACATTATCTTAGGATGCTCTTCAATTTAATATTCATGGGTGGGATTAATTTCACCGAATTTTAGGTGCCTAGGGTTCTCACTTATACACCTAAGCTAGTCATCTGAGGTCCTTTAATATCACTTACCTCACCATAAATGATAATGTTAAAAGTAATTTGTCCCCTGGAATCCCTATTCCCTCCTACCAAGACTATATAGATGACCAGCTCTGATCAGATGTTCACAGTGGGGACAGTGATAAAGTAGGATGGAGGGATATTGCATTAAAAGTCTGCCACAAAAAAAAAAATTAGCTTTGTGGAACTGGAGATTTGCAGGTGGACTTTAACACTTAAGAGCTATTACTTTCTTTCACTTGCCTACCTTTAATAACAGCAGTTATATGTTAACTGTGTCCCAGATAACAGCCTGTCAAGTCCCATCCATGCTTTACTGAACAAAAATCTAACCCCAAATTTAATCTGTAATGGAGCCAGACATGAGGCATCACCCATCCTTCAGGTGAACCTAAATGAAGAAATGGTAAGTCTGAAACTCTTACTTTAAACGAACACAGATGTGGGAATTGGAACTGTTACCCTCAGCTTCACTAACGAGACATTTAAGCTACTCTCTTTCCCTTTCTCATACTGCTCACTCCTTCTCTTTTGAAAGGACAAAAAAGAAAATTCTCCATTATTTGTGAAGCAGGAAGGAACCTGTACCTTGACAGCTAATAGCACTGTAGGAAACTTTTACTGTAGGTATTACCAAATGCTAAAACTAACGTTAGACACTCCCAATGCTCTATTGTGCTTTACAGTAAACAAATAAAATCTGTACTTTTTATCTTTGAAAATGTGACTCACTCACTTCAGCAGTGAGATGCAGTCCTTGTACTTCATACAACACAGCTGGAGCCCTGTCCGAAGCATCAGTAGAACATCCTGTCCGGCCACACGATGCATAAACACTGCTCACTGAATGGGACTTAATCTGATGTTGATCTTCACGCAGTTGGTGATACCATATGTTTTTGTGTTTTAATGGTTATCCTGTTTATCTCATCTTTCTGACTTAAGGCCAAATCCTTCTGTTGAATAGATACACTATTAATACAAGCTGAAAATTAAACAACAAAAAGGCTTAATCATTAAAAGCATGCATTAGTCTAAGTGGTCATAAAAGTTTGTGTTAGCCTCATGTCCTCTCTGAAAAGTGCCCAGCTGTCTTGGGTTTGCGTCTATTGTACCATTTGCTGCAAATTTGTGAAAAAGTTAGGTATTTTACCAAAGATCTTTTTTATTTTTCCTGGATTATGTAGGTATACCCTTTTCATTGATAACAGTACTAATTCCAATCAAATCAACACAAGAAGGAAGAATTAAACTCTCTGAAAGGGTACTCTTTCACACTTGGTATCCTGTTCATTTTACCTTTGCAAAATACTACATAATTTTGAAATACTGTGCATATAAAGTGATTAATGGAAAAGGCTGTCTTGGTGTGTCACTAACCACATACTTCAACTATATAGGTAATTTTTTTTTAAGTAGTTGGCAATTGAAACATTTGTAATGGTGGAAGAAAATACTGTATGTGAGAGCTACTGAAGTATTGGTCTACTTTCCATAGCTTGTGAGTGAGTAAATGTTTAATAGGGGCTGGCTAGAATTTCAGATAGGGTTGCAGAAGATGGTGGGTTGACTCTGGCTGCACATGAGGTGCCCACCAAAGCTGCTCCATCATGGCCCTCCTCAGCTTGACAGGGGAGAGAAAATATAGCAAAAGGCTTGTGGGTCAAGATAAAGATGGGAGAGATCACTCACCAGTTACTATCATAGGCAAAACAGGCTCAATTTGGGAAACATTAACTTATTACAAATCAAATCAGAGTAAAGACTCCTCATGCTCTTCCCCTTCTTTGATGTAGGGTCCTTTCCACAGGGTGCAGTCCTTCAGGAACAGGCTGCTCCAGCATGGGTGCCTGTGAGGTCACAAGTTCTGCAGCAAACCTGATCAGGGGTGGGCTTCTCTCTCCACGGGACCACAGGTCCTGTGAGGAGCCTGCTCCAGCATGGGCTTCCCACGTACAAACCTAGTACAAAATCTTAGACAAAACCAAGGTGTTTCTCACATCACATTTGTCAGCTTATTGATTCACAACTGATATTTTCACTTTCCTCTCTGTTTTGTGTTGGTCTGATGATTTTTTCCTCTTGCTTGTAACAGTTTAGCTGAAATAGTTACTTGCATACAAGTCTGTAATCTTTTTATTTTCACTGTTTTATGGCAGTTCTCTCATGTCTGTCTTCCTTCTTTTTCCCTTTCTTTTTGAACTGTTTTTCTTGTGATCACAGGGCTCAAGTAACAGACCCACAAGGGTGGCTTTCCTGTTACATGTCTTTACAGAATTAGGTTGGGTTTCTAATTTCAAATAGTCACGTTTTAAATTCTTAGATAGCAAGAATTTAAACACCAGTGCTTTTATTGTGAATTATTTTGGTTACAAAAATTTTAGAAATCAAACTGAAATTGAACCTGCCTGTCCTCTGTTTGCAAAGTATATTTTCTAAGGAAGGTGGGGATTGGAAATTATCTGACTATGAAGAGTGAGCCTTTATTGTTCTTGTTCTTGGGAACTACTGGGGAAATAGCTGAGATCTCAAGAGACCTCTCTTGAAAAGGAAGAGACTTAATTCTTGACAGGAGCAGAATGTACCAAAGAGCAAAGGGGTACAAAATTTCCCAACATATATACTGAAGGCCTGTAAAGGAAAGCCCTATGTGCCCTAATTTTTTGATAATATAACCCTCTTTTTTTTAGTTTATATAAATAGCAATAGGACAGTAAGATACAGAATGCTGAAGGAACATGCAGAGTAGTTACAGCCATCAAATTTATAAAAATTGTATGCACTGATGAACCAGATTTTTGTGACTCTTCATTCCAAACAGTGTGAGGAGAAAGGGAAAATAGTGATTTCATACTAATCAGGGGTAAATAACACTTAACAAGTGGAAAATATAATCTATCTTAAGACATGCCCAGAACTAGAAGTTGCACAGAATATGATTTTAACCCCCTCCCCCATCTTTTATGTTAAAAGTGTTGGGAGGTAGTCATCACAGTGTTTATGGGAAACAGGGAAATGAAACTGCAATACATAAATATTACACTGAAAAACATGTGGAGAAGGAATTACTTTTGTGCTTAATTGAATGCTGTCTGAAAGAGGAAAATTTATATGGTTAATTTCTCAAGCTGATTTGACTGTATTATACAGGTCACAGGCCCCCATTCAGGGGTGTAGTAGAAGTAATATAAGGAGTGAAACTAAAAGTTAGAAACATGTTAAAGTGCTATTAATATCATTAATTATATTAATTATTAATCATATATGCTATTAACTATTATTAACTATTAATGATAATTATTAATTATCATTAATTATAGTTATCATTAATAACTATCATTAATATCAGTCCTATTAATATCATTAAAATCCAATAATTAATATAATTAAAATCCAATCTTGGTTTTTGCCCTTGTTTATTCCTATGCAGCCCAAAGTTTTATTAAGTTAATCATTGCTGGCAAACATAGTGAGGATTGAAACCGGTTCCAAAATGTTTCACTCTGTCCTAACTGTTCAAAAGTGTTACAATGTGCTTGGTGAAGCTTGATTTATTGTAAGAATGCACTGTAGATCTGGACAACAGCCTCTGGACAAAGACTTGCTGAGAATGTGAAGCGTTAACTTTTGCATGTTAACTTGCTTATGAAATATTCTGAGCGTATTTAAGCTTATGATAGGTTGGGGTTTTTCATAAACATTGAAACTTGTTCCTTGGGGGGAACAGATGTGCTTTTCAATGGCTGGCCAAAAGTTCTCTATTTGCTTTGAGGATTATTATGTATTTCATTCAGCTACATTGCATTTTGCTACGGACTCTTATTTTTTCCATATTCTACTGCTGTTGTATATGCATGTGTAATGTTTTTATGTTTAACTTAGATGGGCATAGTAACAAGACAAAGGGCATCTATAAAATGCACTTTGTTATTATCATAAATGTATTTGTAAAGTTTTTTTTTAAATATAACTTACTGTAAAACAAATTGGAGGACACTAAACGTGCAAAATTAAAAGTATGAAGGTCAATTAATTCTGAAAGCCATTCTTAAAGCTGACACCAATACAATGTGCATCATTATACAGGCTTTCATTTTGTCATTACATGGTTTTCTTTCGTTAACTACTGCTTTTCATGTGGAGAGTGGCTGAGTAATTTGTGCTGAACGAGGCATTGTCTTAAGTCATTGTTTGGACTTTATTTTGGACTAAGTTTTGTTTCCCCAAGTGGTCACTGGTAGGTAGGAGAGAGAAGGTGACTCAGGGTCCAAAAAAGGAGGAAAAAGCCTTAACAGGCAGGAAGGGGAGTTGGATGCTGCCACTGACATAAGCAATAGCAGCTTAGGCTCTGAGGGGAGAAATGGGGATGGCGTACGAATGCAAGAGACTCCTTTGAGCCCTACAGGTCTCATGGGGAAGGACGAAGTACCCAGATTTAATCTGCTGATTTTCTTTCAAGCAGCTCCTCGTTCTCATCAGACCCAAACTGCTTAAAACGTAAGTTAAAAACATAGCTGCCAAACAGATGACCAGATGTGCGACTGAGAATTCGAAAGCATGATCACCAGTGAGAAAGTCTGTCATTTAACACTCCTGACCTCATCTTTCCCCATACTCTCACTTTTGCTGGCTGTGGAGAGAAAAGGCATCAAGAGTCGATGCCTCTGTACAAGTGGGGAGCACTTAATCAGGTGTTCAACTGCAGTATTTTCTCTTCCTTTGTAAAAAAAGGATACGACAACCAGGGAAAAGCATTTTCGCCAGTGTCACTCCTGGCAAAGTGCTAAGGGTGACCCAAGAGGAGGTGCACAGCTCTCCCGGAGAGCAGCTCACTGGAGGGCAGCCGATGCCCGGAGGGCCCTGCAGCGGGGCGCTGAAAGCCCGGAGCCCGGGCCCTCCCCTAGAAAGGGAGGGTGTACGATGGAGAGCTCCTCGGGGGCCAGTGAGAGCCGGGCAGGGCCGAGCAACTGCCATGGGGGAGAGCAACGGCTGTCAACATACCGGGGCTAAGCGGCGCCTCTCGCTTAGAGTTTTGGGGTGTTTGTTCTTTACTTGGTCACTGTCAGCAAACTGCAGGGGAAGGAATTTCAGACTTTCTCCTCAGCGCACGGCTGCCTAGAGGAAGAGCAGCCGCAGCAGAACACCGCTGGGTGTAACTGCTCTGCCTCACGGCGAACGAGCTCGGCCTGGAAGCGGGGCCAGGGGCTTGTTTACCGCTTTGCCCGCCGAGGCTAGCAGGGCAGCGTGCGGTACCTGTGTGGGGCGGCTCGAGGCGCTGGCCTCCCGCCCAGTGGCGGCGGCAGCGGCGGCCCTTGACTCCCAACCTCGCGCTCGCCCCTCGCCGCTTCCCCTCCCCTCGCCGGCTGCAGGAGCACTTACCGCCGCCGCTGACACGCCACGGCCCCGCCTCGCCCCCTCCGCTGTAGCAGGCGGGGAGGGGGGGGGGGTGTGCGAGAAAAGAGCAGAGCGTGAGCTCGCCTGCCTTCCCTCGCCTCCCCCTCGCCTCCCTTCCCTCAGCCAATCGGTGCGGAGGAAAAGCCCTCGTGCCGCTGACGCCCCCACGGGAGCCCCCCTTTTAAAATAAAGCGGCGGCGGCGGCGGCTGCCGGTCACCCCTCGGCGTGCGGCGGGAACAACGCGGGGACGGGCGCGTGTGTGTGGGGCTAGACGGGCGCGAGCGGCGGGGCGGCCTCGGTCGCGCGCGCATACACGGACGGACAAACGGACAAGACAGGCAGAGGGCTGCGGGATGCCCGCGGCGAGGGGCTGAGGGCGGGCGGGGGCCCAGAGGTCGTTGAGGAAGAGAGGAGAAAAGCGGGAGCGGCTCGCGGGGAGGATCTCGCGCCCACTCCGCGTCGCGGCTGAGGATGGCGCCGGTGAGCGAGCAGCTGGAGCCTCGGGGCGCAGAGGACCCCCCCATTGCTGCCGCCGACCCCCTGCCCGGCCCGCCAGCAGCAGCAGCAGCAGCGGCGGCGGTGGCAGAGCCGCGGCGGGAGAACGGCGGCGAGTGCTGCTCCGGGAGTGGCAACCCGGCCGCACCGAGCGGTGAGAGTGGGGCTCAGCCGCGGGCAGAGACGGAGGACCCTGTGAGTTCAGGGTGTCCCGGAAGCGAGGGGCCTGAGCCCCCCGAGGGCGGCTGGGGCTGGGTGGTGATGCTGGCCGCCATGTGGTGCAACGGCGCCGTCTTCGGCATCCAGAACTCGTGCGGGGTCCTCTTCGTCTCCATGCTCAAGCTCTTCGGCGGCGGGGACGACAAGGTGCTGGCGTTTAAAACAGGTGAGGAGCGGCAAGGGAAGGGCTCGGTGTGGCCTTTTCCGCCTCGGCCTCCCCCCCTGGCCGGTTGCTTCGGCTGTCAGTGCTCGCGCCGCGCTGGGCTCTAAGGGCCGGCCCGCGGCGTGGCCCGAGGGCGGTGGCGGCGGCTGCTCGTCCCGCCCGCCCCTCTGGGCAAGCAGCGGGACCCCTCCGGGCGGTTGGGAGGGCCGGGCCGGAGCCTGCTCCGCCGCAAGCACATGGGGCCAGGCCGAGAGATTCGAAAATGATCGTTCAGCACGGCACAGAGAAGCTCCTCTGTCGTCACTGCGAGGTTTTGCGCTCGCAGCCGTGCCCCAGAGCCAGGGCTTGGGGCACCAAGAGAAGGTGCAGGGGGAAAAAAGCAGGTGTGCTCTGGCTGCTTTCACAGCAGTATTTTTAGGCATGTCATTGTGCATTATGGGAATGCATACTCTTGGTCCCAGAAAGTTTTATTCCCCGCTCCCATTAGCCTACTGAGAAGTCTGATTAAGTAACGGTGGGGTATAATGGCGCTTAAAATACGTCAAAAATGGGTTTAACAGTTGCCAAAAACGTCATTTAGATGGGGGGATTTACTGCTGGAAGCAGTATCCCAAAACTTACCAGTAAAGTTAATGATGTTTACTAAACTCTAAAGACATAGCGGTATTATCCCAACCAAATCTCCACTCTGCCATTACTGACTTAAATAATTCTGGACACCTAAGTATAAATTCAAAGGTGAATGTATATTCTATCTTGTGTAAGTTATCTTTGAGAAGTCTTGTGCTTTGACTTTGTAAGTTAAGGAGGTGCAGTTTTTGGCTCTCAATAATAACGAATTAAGAATTATATTTTATTATGGCAAATAATAATTAAGGTGGCTTATTTGAAAGGTAGTTTATGTATTATTAAAATGAAATGTTAAAGAAAACCAAACATCATCTTTTATGCTTTTGTTCTTTACTAAAAGAAGGTGTTCCAGCTAAGTAGCACTGCAGGGATGTAAGCCTTCTAGGAAATTTTCTCAGTACAGAGTGGTGTTACAGACCTTTAGTAGCGTTTTGGAATTTGTCTTCCTTAGTATTGGGATAAATGGGCCTGAAGTTGAGATGTAGGAGACAAGGAAGCTAATTTTCCTCCTCCGAAACTTTTTTTTTTTGTCTTGTCCGAAGTAGAAAACCAGGGCAGGTGTTTAGACTGGAGTAAGAGAGCTGGAAAACTATGGTAGAGTCTAAAGTGATGTACTCCCCAGCGTTTGGACTGTCTGTGATGATGTACAAGGTGTACTGCAGGGTGTTCTTGAGGTAAAAAGATGGGCAGCTATGTATGTCTATGTGTCAGGTGTGGCAGTGCCCACTTTGCAGAAGGGAAATGCATATCCAGAAGTGGGTGCTGAGACTCCTTATCTTGTATAGGAGGTGCTGTGAACGTTTGTGTACTGACCTGGCAACTTCTGGCTGGTCAGAAATGCAGAAAACACCTGGTGGTTAATACATGGGTCTGTTCACAGTACAGAGGTGTGACTGCTTTTTCTGAGGAACTGGTCTTTTGAGATACTATTTGAGGCAAAATTCCTCTCCCTACCCTATGAGACTGCAGCAATCCAGCTCCAAGAGTCCTAACCACCACCAAAAAAAAAAAAAAGTAAAAAATTTACTTTTTCGTACTAGTGCAGTAGTCAAAATAATCAACAAGAGGGGGACTGAAATTGTTCTCTCCTCCCTTCCAGAAGGCAAGAGATAACGCGCCACTGGTGTTCGAGTGAGGAGAGATTGTGGGTGCACTCCACCCATGTGTTTTGAAAATTTGCCCGAGTGGGGGGGAAAGTGGAACCAGAGTTTAGAGCCTAGTTGTTCTCGCATTCTGTTTAGAAGAGCAGGAAGAGTTCTGGATTCTGGATGCAGCCAGCACCTCCTGCATCACTACTTCTTTATTTTATTAGGGGTGAAGAAAATCCAGCCAACCTACAGCTGCATTTTGGTTTGCTCTGTTAGATGTGCTCTGGTTTGGGAGATGCAGAAGAACTAACTGCGTTTTTAAATCCAGATGGGTTTAAGTTGGGGAAAATAGCACAAGATGGCTACCTTGACTAGATGACTTGTGTGCATGGGAAGGAGGACCACAAGTACAAAAGTGCCTTCTGTAACTAGCAGAACAGCAGATGAAAGAAGTGTCCTTCAATACTTGAAACTACACTGAGTCTGTGCACCATAAAGGCTAAGCAACAGCTGTCAAGCAATACTTTTGGTTCTTGAGCGTTGAACTTCATTGCCTTGAAACTGTTTGCTACCTTTTATCTTGTTTAAAGCAGGGCCAGAGTGAACTAAAACTCTGATACAGCATTTAGCTTTCCGCCAAGGGGAGCTGCGGTCAGAAAGGGCAAGTTGTGCTTAATGTAACTCTTACTGAACACCCATGGATTAGCTGGCATGCTGTAGAAAGAAAAAGAATGATCAGTAGGATGAAGTCAGTATGATTTTGGTGTTAGAAAAAAATCCAGTCAGATAATTTCCATGTTATTGATTATTGCATTTAATCTAGTTAGTCTCCTGTGCTTGGACTGATAGCAACTGAAAACTGGCAGGTGGAGACTTGAGCTTGAGTCAGGTTTAATGAATTTGAAAACTGGGATTTGTAATGCAAGTTTCCTTGCTCTGTGGTTTTGTTTTGGAATACAAAGTTTAATATTCCAATCCATCTGGAAAAAAAATTATTTCTTTAAAATCTGCAGTGCTGATTTTTGAGAGGCATGAATATTCAGATCATCTCTCCTGGGACCTCAGGTTTCTGTGGAATCTTGCAGTTGATCCAGAGTACCATAGACTTCAACTTTTTTTAACTACAGTATTACTTAGCTGTTGCCAGAAGAATATGTGTCGCCAGAGGTTTTTTGTGGGCCTGCTCTTTTGGGACCAGCCAATAGCTGTCCCTTGCCTGGTGTTTTCCTAAAAAGGAGGAATTAAATAGACTATAGTATGTCCTATTTTGTTATCTCTTAATAAAATTTTGTAATCTCTTAATAATGGATGCCTATCTATGTGTAGGGCAAAATGGGAGGGAATTTAGTAATAGGAGTATGTGCTTGTTTTGTTATTTCTTTAGTAGACTGATGGATGTTTATCAGTATGAAGGGCAAAATGGGGGGAGGCAGAAGGAAGGAGGATGTAGTTAAGTGACTGCCTTGCAGATAAGGAGTGGAAGGAAGTAAAAGTACAGTCAAGGCAGCAAGGCTATCTCCAGAATTCAGCATCAGCACTGGATAAATAAGATTAATAATTGTAACATTGTTGCAGGATTTAGGATTATTAATGGAAAAACTTGTGCTGTGGGTTATAGAGAGTTCACAGATGTCTTCAAGGGACATCTAATTATGGTTCACATTTTTAAGAAAAATTTTGAACCTAACTAGCACACAGTATTTTGGTATTCATGTTAATAAAAAGCTTGTTTCTTTGCTTATGTAGTGCACTATGTAAGTAATTCCATTGTTTCCTTCTGTAGCCAGGTGTTTTTGTTCAAGAGCTAACTGGAGCTAACTACAGAAGAGGAGAAATCACCAGTGTAAGAATAACACTTCTAGAAAGATATGCCTGAAGTCTCAGGAAACTGCTTTGTTCATTGTTTATAGTTCCTTGTGTCTGTGGAAAAAGTTGAGTGGAAAAACATAATGGCAATGAAATATGGGAGGCTCTTAGTCCTTGGAAACTGGGCAGACTTGGTGTAGGCCTAAGCATTCAAATGCAGCTGTGGTCTGATCGTCCTTGAAGGGACAGGTTTGGGCACTAGGGCCATTCCAGGTTCTGGCAGGAAGAGCACTTGGTTCCTCTCCCTGTTGGCATTGGCACAGGGGGGCATGGAGCACTGAGCCAGCCCCTGTTTTATCTCACTTAGAAATCTAGCATTGAGTCCTGTGTTGTGCTGTCTGGATTGATATTATATGGGATTTTGTGTGTGCATGTATGCATGCCTGTTTTCAAAAGGCAAATAAATTCCGAGATTCTGGTTGCAACAGAGATTAAGAAAAAAAAAAAAGATAAAAGTACTAGTTCTACTAGTTTAATTACTCTATACTCTGTGATTTATAGTGCTGGTTCTGTAACTTCACTGGGTTATTCACTCATCTGTTTGTTCACTTGTACAAATAGCCTTGCTCAGGGAGTATATA